TTGCCATGGAGTGATATCCTCTGAAAACTTGAACCCAAACCCCATGGCATGCATGGTCTTGTAGAATAATTCCTCGTGAGGCCTATCCGAAAGACTGGCTGATTCGAGGGCGGGTACGCATCTTGCTCGGACCTCACATGATTTGAGGTTTTGGTAGAGAGTCTAGGGCCTTAAAGCACTCCGCAATACCCTATATCTCTTATGAAGAATTGTTTGTTCTGACTTCGGGAGCATTGCTTGATTCACGGATGTTGGTGTCTTTCACTGGCCAGAACAGGGCTGGTCTGTTTAGGCCTTCAGAGGCTTTGTGTTCAAGGGGTAAGCCTTCAAACCCTAAGCCCCAGCCATACACATTAAATCATAAACCCCACTGGGCTTTGAGGTTCAGTGAGTGGGTTTGGACTTCGGGTTGGCTTCGGATCGAGCGTGCAGTTTAGCGTTGAGGATTCTGAATAGGATGCTCTTACCCTGAATCCCAGACGCGGTAGGGTTTCGGAAAAGACTTAGTATCTATGACTGTGGCAACTTCCGATTTGCAGATGCGATCGACATAGGGACCCTTCAAGCCATAGATCCCAAACCCTCAACACCCTTCGTCCAGCAGCGTACACCACAAGCTTTCAACCCTCACAGCCCTCCTGAATCCTACACCCCAAACCCAGCAACAGCCCTTGTGGTTGCCCTTGTTGAGCCCGTGTAGGAACCCTTCAGAGGTGTCCCATAAATCCGGAGATCGGATCAAACGCACCAAGCCCAACCCGAGCTTTGGGGACAGAGAGGCTGAAGACACCCGAGGGTGCCTTTACCCATCAAGAGGCGGGGGTTTTAGGCTTTGGAGTTTAGGGTGTAGGGTTTCGGGTTTTTGGGAATTTGGGTTCAGGGTTTGTGGGGTTCAAGTCGCACGGTTTAAGTTGAATGCAGCTTTGCGGAGCCTCCTGTTCCACCGAAAGCGGCGGCTCATGGTAAGAACCGAAAGTGTGAATCTAAACCTCAAGCCCTACACCAGAAAGCCAAAAACATCCGAAACCCTAAACCCGACACCCTAGCTAAACCTCAACTAAACCGTAACTAAACCCTAATTAAACCCTAAACCCTGAACACAAGCCCTTCCACCCCAGCATGTAAGCCGATGTTGCACCCCCCCAATTACACCCCAGGCCTTGCAACAAGGCCAGGAGTTACGGTTGATGATATCAATCCTGCATGACCCATAAGAAGGAGTATACCCTACTTCCCATAGTTTAGGATCCTTAAGGTCATGCAGGATTTATATCATCAACAGTATGTGGCAGCTTGCTATACCTGATAAGCCCGAAACACAAGAGACTGAACCCTAAATCCCCCGAGGGCATCCTAACCTAACCCCTGAACCCCTAAGCCCCTAAACCCTAAATCCTTACACCCCTAAACCCTAAGCCCCTAAACCCTAAACCCCTAAAGCCCTAAACCCTAAACCCCTAAACCTCTAAGCGCCTAAGCCCCTAAACCACTAAACCCCCTAGACCCCCTAAACCCTAAACCCCCTAGACCCCTAAGCCCCTAAACCCTAAACCCCCAAACCCCTAAACCTCTAAACCCCCTAATTCCCTAAACCCTAAACCCCCTAAACCCCCTAAGCCTTGAACCCTAAACTTGAATCCCTAAAGGCGCGTTGGGGCCGAAGGCCTCGGCGCAGACCCTAGGCAACCACACCCCGCTATCGCGTGGCTTATGGGGTTTAGGGGATAAGGGTCGGGGGGTTTCGGGGTTGCGGGTTTGGGGTTTGGGGGTTTAGGGTTTCGGGTTTGGGGTTTGGGGTTTAGGGCTTAGGGTTTAGGGATAAAATAAACCCTGAACCCTGGACAGATCCACACCAAGAAAGACGTGATGCTCAAGATGGGGGAGCTGATTCCGAAGCTGGGCGCCCAGACTTTGGGCGTATATAGAAGCCTGAATAATTACCAATGTTATCCCGTAGGCTTCCTTATAAAACTATGCTATAGCGGAGCCCAAAACCCTATTCTAGTCTAATGTATTCAGGCCCCGACATTCGACAGCTGTTTTATCGCTTTTTCCGAGGATCATGCTTCGATTCAGGGTCTCAGTCTCGGCCTCTTAAACGCATGCTTCCCAGGTGGATACGGTCAGCACGGTGGGATGCAGTTCAGGCTTTGGCGGTTTGGGTTTGATGTGTTTGGGGGTGCAAGGTGTAAAGCGTGAAGCTTGGGATTGGAGTTTGGGGTTTAGGGTT